CTCGTTCTCATGAATATTTATAAATGCTTTTAACCAATGAAGTCCCTGTCTGAAGGAGAGAGTCAGAAGGGAATCAGAAGAGTCTGTCCAATGAGAATTCGTGTTGTAACTCCAAGTTGGAGTTACTCGCAATATGGCGGAAGATGCGAAACGTTTGTTTAGCATCGATAGTTTCACGGATTTGCAGTCCGAGACTATTAGATATTTGTTGGAAGGAAAGGATGTTTTCCTTTCTATACGAACTGGTGGAGGTAAATCTATGACTTACCAAGCTTTTCCTTTTTTGCGCCGTGCTGAACCGTTTGAACCTTGCCAAGTTTTGATAATCAGCCCCTTGTTGTCCATCATGAAAGAGCAGGTTAGTTTTCATGCTTTTAACTCTAATTATCTTATAGTAAAACATCCTTACGGTATGACGGTATGATCTAAAAATATATATGCGAAAGGTATACATTTAAAAAAAAAAACGTTGACATCCATCACATGCTCATGTGATGTACTAAAATTTCGAATTTCCTTGGTTCAAATTTTTAAGAACGAAGATTGGAATTGACAAGTAGGCTGGCGAGGATCTTAACTTTTAATTTGGTTTTATTGACTTAAATAAAGAGCATTTATACAGAAATTAATAAGTGTACATGTTAAAGTTTGGTGTTTTTTTTCATGAATCAATCATTCATTAGGTTGGGACCTCTTGCCCAAATAATTATATAATAGCTGGGGCATATTATATACTTACAGGATAGGCAACTCATTTAAAAAAAAAAGCTTGTTTTCTGAATTTCAGCTGTTAAATGTAATTTAATATATATGAAATATGGCCAATCACCATCATGTGTTGATTTCAAATAAACAACATAATGAATACTTTAGATAAGAAGTATTAACAGTACTAACAACCAAACAACACATCACTTGAACATTTTTTTGATTGGTAAATAAAAGTTTTTTGATTAATACATAAAAGTTTTGTTCTGGAATATTTGACTTAAAAAATCCTGAAATGTATGAGATATCACAATCCTAATGCCTATCTTGTTAGTATTTAGCCAGAAAATATTAGGATTCAAACTGGTGGTCTTGTGAATCATTTTGGGAGCATGCTTAAAAGGATTTATCTTTGTGTATATGTTTGGGGGAGGTGCACCACTCTAGATCCCCTCCTTTTTGGAGAAAATGCTGGATCCACCTTTGTATTATATATAAGACATCATACAAGCCATTGTATTCCAATTTTGTGTAAGCAGTCCCAACCTGTTAATGAATGAAAATTATGTATATCATTTTGAAAAATTTTCACCAGCTACAGAATTTTTTTTTAAAGGTTTCCTATCTGAGTTCATTGGGGTTGCATGCAGATTACATTCACAAGGAATGTGATAAGGAATCCATAAAAACAGGCAAAACAACATACGTTTACACATCCCCTGAGGCTGTACTATCAGATGAAATGTGGAGGAGAATGCTCATTGAATCTACAAGTTTCAAACTATTTGTGGTAGATGAAGCACACATGGTCATCAACTGGTAATAATTATCACCTCAAGCATGAATATGATTTTATTATCAATTTTGATTTTTAAAAGTCTAAACATGAATATTTTATAATAGACTCATTTCCTCTCATCTACTGTTTTGAACACGAAATTTAAATATTAAAAATTTTATAATAATTAAATCCATTTTTGTACAGAAACAATGACCTCAAGAATGCTTGAAATGCATAATAATTTTATAACTTATTACAGGAGTGAAAGTTCTGGGGAAAGTGAGCCATTTCGGGAATGGTTTGGTAGAATTGGTGAAATCAGGTCCCTAATATCATGTCCAGCACTTGTCATCACAGCAACGGCCAGCAGAGCAAGTAGAAGAAAACTGAGAAAGAAGCTTGCACTTGTGAACTGTCATGATATTGTGGAGAGTCCCGATAGAGAAAACATTAAACTCTTTGTTGAAAAGATAAAGGTGAATGAGAAAATCAGTGTGACCTTTTCTTGGCTGATCAACATGGTCATGGATCAGACTAGTGATTGCCCTCGACATATTATCTTTTGTCCAAGCATAAAATTGTGTGCAGAAGTGTATTGTGCCTTTAAAGTTTGCTTGAATGAATGTATTAGTTTTATTGAAATGTTCCATTCTTGTACAACCGATCAGGTGAAAGATTCAATAAGAGAGGATATGGAAAAAGAGGATGGACATATAAGGGTACTTATTGCAACCAGTGCTGCAGGAATGGGAGTAAACTACAAAAGTGTTAATAATGTTATTCATTATGGACCATCCAAAGATTTAGATGGCTTCATACAACAGTTAGGACGTGCTGGTAGGGATGGCAGTCAGTCTTATGAATTACTTATTTACAGTAGTAGACATCTACGTAAGTTAGATATTGATATGTTAGAGTATACAAAGAACATAGAAACATGTCGCAGGAGAAAACTGTTCCAAGTGCCGGTTTAGTTAAACATTTGTGCTGTGATGTTTGTGATAAGCAATGTGACTGTAATGAAGAAAATTGCAAATCCTTTAAAACCATGTATTTTATTCATAAATCTGAATTAGATATTGAAAGTTCAAGCGAATCCAGTGAGGATTATAGTACAGATACATCAAAGACTTTAAGTGAATCTGAAAGTGATTAAGTATAAAATTTATTTAAGTACATGTATTTGTACATATATGACAGTGCTATAAATGCATTATCCTAAGTGTGTAGATATTTAGTGGAAGTTGATTTTTTCAGTAATTTGCTGTACATCTGATTTAGTGTTATTTTGAATACACTAAAACTTGTCTAATCAGGGCTGCGTTCAAGATCGTAGTGACTAACCTAGCAGCTATGTTGTAGATATATCCATCTAATTTGAACAGCAGCTAACCTAGCTGATAAGTGTTAAATTTGGAAAATAAATATATCAGTATAAACTTATTTTTGGAGCAAAAAAAAAGTTTATTTCAAGCAAATATGTACCGGTATATGTAAATATGCATTTAATATGCCAAGTTGTACAAAATATTCCCCATTTAGTTAATATCATGTGTGCTGCGAAGTTGTAATTAAAGAGGCCATCTTGGATTTGGTACTTAACATAAAATATTTATGCTAGCTCTCCCTACATAGCAGCTAGACTATCTCTCCGTTCAAGAGCGTAGCTTTACGTAGAGGTTACGTAGCAGCTACGCTGTTGAATGCACCCCAGGATACCACTTGATCCATAGAAATTTGCCAGTCTGACTAAAGCCAGCCCCTACTATTTCACTTCATTCGTAGGAACGAAGTGAAATAGTAGGGGCTGGCTTTAGTCCATCGTCGCAAGCCACGGGTTTTGAGACTGAGAAATTTGCCAGATTACACAACATTCCAGTTTTGACATTTTAGACAACTGAATTTGAATGAAAGGTACTAAAAATTGACACCTTTATAGGCAAGATTTCATAGTACACAACATCCAAATTAGACAAGTTTTGGTGTACATTATGTGTATAAATTTATACATAGCAAGACAACTGGTAATTTATTTAATTAAGCAGCTTTCTGCCAATAGACATCCAAATATAAAATGTTTACACTATAACATGACAATTTTCTAAAACCATTTGCATTTTCATAATTTATATTTTAATAGCCTCCTGTATATATATGTCTTTTTATGTTTTTATTACTTAGGCCAGTCAAGGAGGCTCAAAACTCCAAGTAAAAATAATTTTTGGACTTTTTGAAAATCAAATTATGTAAAGGTGTACATAATAAGATTATCTAACTCAATCTTATCATAGGATAACTGTGATAAAGTATTGGTAATCACAAATCATTGTTGCTTATTTCCATTGGGATCAAACATGCAAGTAAAATATTTAATTTATATTTGTTTAATAAATATACTTTTCATTCATGAAGAATTGTGTCATGAACTGTACATTTTCATTTAATCATCTTACATCCAATGGCAGGTTATTCTAACTGCATAAATCTACCATGGAATTAGACATCTTTAGTAAGCATTGTTTTAAGCTTCCTTTTTCAAGTTGAAAATCATTAAAATTCTACATCCACAAGTTGAAAACAACTGAAGTAAGCAATTTTATGCCCAAAGATTGCAAATAGATGGCAATATTGGTTTCATCAGTGCAAATCTGGTCATGAATTATGAAAACCTAATTCTTGACAAGTGAAAGGACAAGGTCAAACTACAAGAAAAGGTGAAGGTCACTTTGTCATGATTTAATATGGCCATTCCTTGGGTCAAGAATACATCTTTGTTTTGTTTTGTTTTTTCTTTTCTTTTTTTTTTTTTTTGATTTATGAAAAAAGCAAAGTTAAAGCTTTAAAGAATTTTATTGTTTAAAAATTATCTATACTCTGTGAAAGCACAGGATTTGAATGTGAACTCAAATAAGACATATTTACTTTAGTGTTCTCCTTTCAATAACCATAAGTACATACTTGGCATTACAGAGATTTCACTTTTAAATGATATTTACATTTCATTCATGTTAAAAAAAAACTCATAATAAATGTCTTTACCATGTTCATCACATACCATTTTTTAATGTGATGACCTCTCATGCTTTAAACAGTAAGAAAAACATAGATACCAGTAATCAAAGATTACTAAGCTCACCTCGACAAATATTATCCATAAGTAAGGAAAATCTCACCTCATATTTTTTTTATAGTTAGCATGCATCCCGAAATCAATATCTATGCAAGTTTGGTTTAAGAAGGACTTGCAGTTACTTGGAAATGGACCTGCTTCAAAAGCTTTAACCTGCTCACTAATCAAGAAAATGACTTGCCAAAGTAAGTCTGGTAGTGTTCATCCCTTGATGCATCAGTCACGCGAGTTTGGTCCAGATAATACTTATAGTTACCTAGGAATGGACTTGCTCCTAAAACGAACTCAGACGCCGATGCTAATGCTGGCGCTGGGGCTAAAGCATAAGCTCATCTCGACTTCGTCGAGGTGAGCTAAAAGTCTTTACATCTTACTGTCAACTTAATTTAACATAGTGTTATTAGAAATAATCTTGTTTTCATCAATCCACTGGTACAGTTTTACAGCGTCAATTGATTCAAGAGGTTTTTTGAATTTCACAAAACTTTTCCATTCGAGGTCAGTCACCTGTCCACTGCACATACTTAATATACAGTTCGCAATAGCCATAATATCAGTGCGCTTATCCACACCTGGCCTAACTCGTGATGAATGAAGGGTATTATTTTCTTTCATAACATTCATTTTCACATCATCAAGAACTTGAGTTGTTAGAGTAATAACTCTTGCCGAGTTGAAACTTTTGTTAGCTCCCTGAGTCTTGAGCTGGTTCTTTATGGTCTTGACTTGAAGTTCCACACAATTATCGTTGGGAATGTTTTTGTCAACTCCACCAACTAGATTTGTGCTAATGTTCCATTTGTATTCAAAGCTTTCACGTGGCGACAATAAAGCAATAGTGTAGGAAACCATTCTCCATAACCAAAGCTGATACTTGTAATGTTTTGTTGCTGATGCATATAACCACTCCAATTTTGCATTTCGTGTGCATCTTTCTCCATCTGCCATCTTGTATGCATCATTTGTGTCAAATAATAGGCATGCCATCCTCAGAAAACAAGATACTGCATCACCCAAACTCTCTGTTTTAGGAGGTACATGAAACTTCCATTTATGAACTTTGCACAAATGCCGCCGAAAATGTCCTTCAGTCTTATAATGTTTCCCACAGAAACAAGTAAATCCACCAGGACTTTTCATCTGATGAATGTTTTGCATATCTTGATCTAAATGATGAAAGTTGTCTCTAAGCTTCACTACAGCCTCTGTTTCATCTATACCTAAATTGGTCATCACAGCATCAGCTTGTGTTAAAATCCACTGCAGCTGCTCTTCACTACTCATAAAGGAAAAAACTGGAAATCCTATGCAATTTGTGTCATCAATGTCTTTGAGACCACTCAATGTCAAGAATGCTGCAACAATGTATCCTTCTAAAACATCCTGGACAAAATGGTAGTGAGATCTGCAACAGATAGTAATATAATGAGAAATCAGTTATACTTTGTTAACTATATCTATATATATATATATATATATATATATATATATATATATATATATATATATATATATATATATATATACACACACAATTGGAAGACAGACACAAGGTTTCTAACCCTTAAAATTGGGAAACGTAAAATATGGGTTTTATGTATATTGTACATTCCTTCAAGCCATACTTATTTTTCTTATGAGAATCATTTTTTGGTTATTTTACAATACGATTTTGATATATATGAAAAACTTTGGGGGGGGGGGGTTGGTTGACCTCTCTCCTCTGAATCTGCTGCAGAAAAATTGCAGTATGAATGAATTTATCACCTATAAGCTGTGGTTACAGCATCTGGTCCTGTGACATCTCTTCTGTTTATCAAGTTTCTGAGCTGGTATAAGGTACCTGGATCACCACTGCTCTTTTCCTTGTAGAATAGTTAATAAATCCCATAAAATTATAGCTTTTACATTAAATAATTTTTTTGGCTTAAATATGTAGGTAATATTACTTGTCAAGTTTAGCATTGTCTCAATTAAAGGTTTTAAATCATATAGTAAGTCACATAGTCAACAATATAACAAATTAAAATAAATTTACAAGCCCACTGTAATTAATATTGACTTGTATTTAACTGGAATTAGTTACATATTTATTTGAAAAAAATAATTTTAAAACTAATTTATTATACAACCATGAACAAAACAGTATGAGATTTGGAAATTTTAACTAGCTTTAACAAGGTCATAAGAAGGGAGAGGGTGCTTTAACCAATTGGAAAAAATCTATTTATAACCATAAAATATAAAGAAAAAAAAATTGAAGCATGCATTTCGGACAAGAATATATCAAGGATATTTTAGAAAACTCTCTGCGAATCCTTAATAATAATAATAATAATACACGTAATAATAGTAATAAACTTACAATTGAAACTTGAAACCAAAACAATCAACATGAACTGTAAGTGAACTGCAAGAGCAATTATGTCACCAGGAGAAAATTCATCTGTCTGTGTAGGCCCTCTGGTCTATGTATTACACCCAATAAATTCTTGAATTCAGATTTGTTGTTGAACATTGCCATCTGTGCACCAAAAGCACGCTCATTTGTGAGTACATCACCTCCGAAGACTACAGGTTCACAAACCTCTTTTGAATCTACAACACAATGGGGTACAACAAGGTTGTGTATTTGTTGCAATATGTGTATCATGCCCTCAGTTGAATTTTCACTGGCATCAATTAAGTCAGTGTTAAAGAAAACAGTCTTTTGTTTGGTAATTTCTATAAATTCATGTGGAATGTACTTTGGTAACACTTTCTCCAAATGCTTCAAAGCAGCAAAATTTTTCACCAATATTTTGGCGACATGTATTTGCAAATCTTGACGATATCTAAGGATTTCTTCATTAGATGGTAACCAGTTTGAAGCTTCCAGATGAAGAATATCTGCAACTCTTCCAGAGGATGGCAAGTCTGGGGCTGTTATTCTTTTCTGTGCTAATAACACCAAGAACCAGTGCCAGCTTTTTCTCTGTCGATCAGATGTCATGTCTCCAGGACTCACTAGTAAATCTAAGTTATCTCCAAGCACTTCTATTGCCTTTACAGGATTTTGTTTGGCTCTCTTGATTTCCTTCTTAAGTCTCTCCATTGATTTGTCATGTGATGCTGTAGAATATATCTCTGAAGAAAAAGTTCCACAGGGTACAATGCAAGAATTTGAAACAGGTATCTTGTCATAATTCACAGAAATGTCAATCCTGGAAGAATACTCCTTACTCTCAGTTAATAATGTTACAGGAGTATTTGCAGTACTGTATGGCTCCAAGCATGAATCATACAATGCTGTTGTTTCACATCCTGAATAGGTGGCTCCACATCCATTTGAAAGAATATGCAACTTTGATTTAGCTGATAAAATGTCTACATCAGCATAACTATGATGATCACAAGGTAAAATTTCTTCCTTTCTTTGAGAGTCACTATCAATAACAGCTTCCCCTAGGAGAATAAGTTTTCTTTGTTCTGTGTAAGCTTGAGCTGTCTCTCTTATTCTATCTTCTTGCTGTTTGACCAAAATCTTTTTCTTTTTGTGAATGGTAGACTGAGTAACACTAATTCCCATGTCATGCAAAATGGAGATAGCCTACAATATTTTTGTACAGATAATTATACAAGTAACATCATTTTTTAAGTCAGTTTACAGCAGAATAAATGTTTTACAAAACTGCAGTTATTCATTTTTACAGCAACCCAATGATATTATTAGTTACATAAGAGCAGCTTAAAATAAACAAGAGGCCCATGGGCCACAACATTTACCTAACTAACTTAAGTCACATTGTCCTTGCTGTTTCTCATTAGAAAGCATGATTCCTTTATAAAGCTTTTATCCCCTATTGTATCCCTGCTCCCACCCAAAGAAGCTGTCATTTTGAACAATCTTGAATCTACACTATCTGATGCTTGCATGTTAAATTTAAATATATCACTTAAATGTGGCTTTTCTCGAAAAGATTATTTTAAAATAATTTCTTTATTTAATCCATTTTAAAAAAATTTAACCCTATTTTGAGCCCACCCTTCCCCTTGGGGTCATTGTTTGAACAACACCCAAGGATGCTATGTAATATCAGTAATTACTTAAGTAATCATGCATAAGCAGTTCTGAAGCTTTTTTGCTATAATTTTCAAAGTCCCATAAAATTTAACCCTCTATTATGGTCTCACGCCAATGTTCTGAACAAATTTGAATCAACATTATGTCAAAGAGCTTTTACTTGAGTTTCATCATGTTCATCATAAATGACTCAATCAAATTTTCAATCTCTCTAAATTATCCCTCCCCTTGAAAGGGAGCACATCTTCATTGAACAAACTTGAATCCCCTTCACCCAAGGATAATTTGTGGCAAGTTATTATTGAATTTGACCTAGTGCTTCTAGAGAAGAAGTTGAGTATGTTAAGAGTTTACAGACAGATGGATACCAGACAAAATGTGGCCAGAAAAGCTTCACTTTAGCTTTCTTTTAAGTTGAACGAAAGACTATTTTACAGTGTAAACTATCACTTAGATGAGGTAAATGGTATATCACACATATGGCAAACAAGAAAATACACACTATATATGTGTTCCGATATTTCTTTCTTTCTTCTTTTTTTTTAAGATAAAAAGAATCCTAGCTACACAATAATTATTTTCTTTTTAGATAATATTATTTCCTCAGTATATATATAGACATTCAGGATACACAATCAATGTAAAATTATCAGGTTGACTTTAAATATTCAGCATATGTAGTATTTCTGGAAACATCTAAATTTATCAAATTTACAGAGAAAATATGAAAAAACTGCAAAATTAAATGTAATTTGTTTGTCTTATACCTCTTTGGTGGCTCCACACTGATCAAGAACAAAGCCGATGACATACTGAATCTGGGAAAGCTGGCGGTTTCTACCATATAACAATATAGAAAGTGCAGTGCACAGGTTGTTGGTGTATTGTCTACTACTAGAGGACTTAATGTCTTTACTGACAATGCTTTGAAAAATTCTGACTATAGTTGGTGCTTTCAGAACAAGTTCATCTAAAATGTTTCTCCACTTGATATTGTTATCATACTTCAATAAAGTTTCATCTTTTCTACACAGGTTGCACACCTCTTTTCTAATTTCCTTACATAGACAATCAAGCAAAGCTGACTTGAATTGGTCATCTTTTGTAAGAGACTTTATATACGTAGCAGGGTTCCTGTTGTTCAATATTGCCTTACACACAGATTTCTGAACCTCACTGTTGATAATACGGGATCTGTAGTTGCTTCCATACTTGACAAAAATCTGGGGGAAAAAATACAATACAAATGAAAACTGACAAGCACACATAGCCCGCAGGAAAAAAAACCCATTCATTTTGCAGGAAATCATGGATCAGAACTTAATATGAGATGGGCCAGCTAATTCTAGCAGATCAAAAAGGCATGTCTTACAGTCTGTGGCTTCAGATTAAACTTGTGCTATTTAATAACATAATAATAAAAATATCGTACCTTCACAGCAAAATCCTTCTCTTCACTGGATTTAGTTTGAGTTGAACTGTCAACCGTTGTAGGCTTTCTTGCTGGTGAACTAGCATGATTAGCACCCCTTTCTTTGTTTTTTTGCACAGAACTTGGTGAAGCACCAGCAAGAGGCAATATTCTCCTTGCCTTAAATTTTCTTGGTGTAGGAGTCTTTGAAACGGTTTTATACTCTCGTTTTGAAATTTTTTTAATTGGTGTTTGCAAAGAAGAGTTAGCACTTGAAATATTCGGTCTGTTACATGTTACTTTTTTCAGGTCTTCATTTACCTCACTGCGCTTTTGTTTTAAAACGTCTAACCTAGTCCGAATTTCCTCATCCAACCGAACCAATCTGTTTAGCTTGTTTACACAAAATTTATAGGCGTATCCCTTTCGTTCAACACTTAATTCAGTTAATAATGCACTGTATATTTTGCTAGCCTCTGTTGCTAAAGATCGATAGTATTTTATATCACTTATTGGTTTTAAACACAATTCACATGGTTTGCCAAAGGACGTCGCCATTACGAATTTCCAACATCGCTAAGCGTCGTTTTCATTGGATATCGGTGCAGTACGTCACGTAATAAATATTCATGATATATTCATGAGAACGAGAGAATTTCACATCACGCAGCCACGGGTTTGTGGAAATAGAATGGACACAAAACCCGTGGCTTGCGACGATGCCTGCATACGGGGTATATATCTCTCAGTTGATTCGATACGCAAGAGCATGCTCTACGTATGTACAATTTCTAAAACGAGGTAAATTATTGACAAATAAGTTGATGAAACAAGAATATCAGCTGTCTCGTTTAAAGTCATCATTTCGTAAGTTCTATGGTTGATACAATGACCTTGTCAGCAAATACAATTTATCATTGAGTCAAATGCTGACTGACGTTTTTCATACTATAATTGTTAGGCCATTATTTACACACTGAATTGTCGACGGATTTTTCTTTTATTTCCCGATCATGACAAGGAACACACGGCGGGTGTGACCGGTCGGCAGGGGATGCTCACTCCTCCATGGCACCTGATCCCACCTCTGATGTTTGGAAGTCCGTGTTTGCTCTGCTCCTATTTTGTATTGTTTAATGGACTTTTGAGCTTGAAAACTGTTCGTTATCTCCATATATTTCATATATATAATCAACAGAACAATATAAAATATATGAAACTTTCTCATTACACCAAAGACGACCATTCGTTTCCTTGAGCAGTAACAGAAAAAATCAATCATTTGCAAGTTGAGAATAAACTGTAATTTCCTTTTTATATCTAATTTTATTCATTTTTGTGTTGATAAAAGAAGAGAAAAAAAATTAAATATCCCGATATTCGATGCAAGTCAAATTAAAAACACTCTCCAATTAT